CAGTTTGGAAGAATGGGAAGCTGAAGTTGTTTTGTTTTTTTTTTTTTGGAGAGATTTTCACTGTAGGGCGCGTGCGCTCGCCAGACAGACAGAGAGAGACATAGAGACAGAAAGTGAGAAATCACCCCCTAGGGGGGATGGTCACGCCGCAATCCCTTCTCCTCCATTCTCCTCTCGGGATCTTGGGCACGCACGCACACGCGCCCGGCGTGAGTTTTTTAAGCCACCGGGTCCGGGACGCGAACCACGGTCGACTACGTGGGAGTCCAGCGACATAGCCATTACGCTAACTGCTGGTTCCCCGGAAGCTGAAGTTTTTTGATTCATGTTTAATTTTGCCACATTATGTTACAACTTTTGAGTCCCTGGAACTATAAATAAAAGCTTTCCTATCTAGAGTTATAGAGTTCCCCATGTAACAGCATACTAATATTCGAGAGTTGAGGGAGGTAGGGTTTTAAAAATAATTTTATTCTGATTATTTTTTGCCTTAATATTCTGAAGAGGTTAGAAATAACTGCTATCGGGAACCAGCAGTTAGCATAATGGCTGTGTCGCTGGACTCCCACGTAGTCGACCGCGGTTCGTGTCCCGGACCCAGTGGCTTAAAACTCACGCCGGGCGCGTGTGCATGCGTGCCCAAGATTCCGAGAGGAGAATGGAGGAGAAGGGATTGCGGTGTGGCCATCCCCCCTGGGGGGGTGATTTCTCGCTTTCTGTCTCTATGTCTCTCTCTGTCTGTCTGGCGAGCGCACGCGCCCTACAGTGAAAATCTCTCCAAAAAAAAAGAAATAACTGCTATCTAAAATACACAAAATTTAGATGCTGAGCATTTACAGTGCATAAATTGTTACCAACAGGCTGTTCGTAGACATCATTTTTACCGAAGAGTTATTTGTGGACTTGATAATATGCTCTTTTTAAAAATATGTAAGCACTATGGGAAATGTCGTCAGATCCTGAATAAACAATTCTCTTGAAAAAGTTCAGTAGTCGATGCTTAAATTTAGTAGAGTTATGTCTATTTGCTTAAGTTGCTCATTCGCCGTCTGGTACCGTGTTAGTATAATGCTGGTGCAGGGAGTCCTCAGTGCCACTTTTCCCTTACTAAGTATAAGTCACCTGTAACTGAGATTTTATTGAAGATTTGAGTACCTCTTCTAAGCCATCGAGATACAGATTTGTATCAATAAGCATTGCTGTGTTGTCATTTTGTTTTGTTTTGTTTTTAGTTTTTGCCATAGGGCATATGTACCCGCCCTATACGAGAGAGAAGTTTGGGTGGGGCTGACCACGTCGCCATCCCTCCTCCATTCTCCTCCTGGGATTTTGGGCACACGCACACATGCCCAGCATGTTTTTCAAGCTGCAAGGTCAGCCACGTGGGATCTAGCCACCTTAGCTTCCAGGCCGTTGGGCTGGCCCTGTTTTAAGAAGTCATTTAGACCCTTGGTACAGAGACTGGATTGGCTCCACATCCACATCCCACTCTGTTCCGCCTCACCTTCCTCTTCTATGGTGGATGCAAAACTGGAAATCTTTCTTCCCCAGGTACCCATGTGTGTGTCTACCCAACATCCCAAATGGAGACATGGAAGAGAAGGGATTATGGCATAACCATCCACTGGAGGAGGGTGCTTTCTCACTTTCCCCCTCTCTCTCACCCCCCACTCCGTCTCTGGAGGGCACTTGTGCCTTCTGGTAAATTTAAAAAATAATAATAAATAAAGCTGTGGATATTAGGGAAGAAACAAAAATCTAGATTTCTAATGACTTTCTCTTGTACCTGAACCACTTCCAGGAAGTGCCTACCTCCTATGAGAAAAAAGTAATGTATTTTTCCCTATCGATTAAGCCACTGTACGTTGCATTTTTCAGTTACATTATCAACCAAACCAACAGACTTTTATACTTGAAATGGATTTTAATTTATTGTCTAAAAATTTTATTTTCTTATTTCAAAAGAAAATATATCTTTTGTTGTTTCGGGTAAAATCGTGTGTCTATTATTTTAAAATTCAAGCAAAGATGGGCAATCAGCACAAGAGCTGACTAGAATGCTTTTGGCCCTTCCCAACAGAAAACCAAATAAGTAAATACAGATCGACTAAAATAGCATTATAGTAACTATAGAAACTGGACAGAGCTCTGTAGCAACCAAGCAGTTGCCTCGCCAGGAGAAAGTCACGTTCAAAATGATAGGAAATTCCATAGCATTTTTACTGACCCTTGCCCCACTCCCTTCTTGACACCGTACAGCAGAAAATGACCCGATTCCTTATTCCCTCAGTCAGGATGGAAGGATTAGAACAAAACTAGTTTGCAGTATTCCGGCCTGTCTTTGGGCTGTCTGAGGGACTGGTTTCTGTCTCCCTTGACTTGGGAAACACGTAGGAAGGTGGCATAGTTTGATCTCAAGCTAAAGGCCAAGGAAGGCAGTGGTGGGCGCCACGGCACGTGGAACCTACAGGGAACTGCAGACCCGTGGATGCCTGAGGGTAAGAGATTACACACGTCTAAGGACTCGGCCAGAAGCTGTCGTGAGACTGAGAAATTAAGATCTTCAAAGGAAGCCAGAGGAAATTAGAAAGAAGCAAGAAATACACCCAGACCCACAAGGATGCTACCCAGGAAGAGTTGAGAAGACCTGTGTCCTATACCTTCTGCTATTCCCAAAGCTTAGGGGCCAATAATTAGTTAAGATTTCTTCCATTCCAGTCTGCACTGGGAGAGGTCGCTGTTTTCTCAAATGCCAAATGTTTAGCAGAAGAGCATGAGGTGTGCGAAGAAAGAGGGATTTGTGATCCATTCAAAGGACCAAAAGCAAATCTCCAGAGAAACATGCCCCCCAAAACATACCAACACTGACAGGACTTGCTGAGGAAAGACTTGAAAACAACCAAGTATGCTCAAAGAGCATACACGAAGAGATAAAGGAAAGCAGGAGAATGATATATGGGATACTATCAAGCAGATGAATATATACATTATGGGAGTCCCTGAAGGAGAAGAGAGGAAAAGAGACAGAGATATTATTTGAAGAAATAATGGTTGAAAATGTATCAAATGTGAAGAAAAACATGGGTCTACAAATACAAGAAGCTCCATGAGCCCCATGTTTGATAAACCCAAAGAGGCCCACAGATCATAAAATGTCAGAAGTCAAAGATAAAGAGATAATCGTGAAAGAAAACAGAAAAAAATACAGTATATAGAGAATATTATTGAGCCAAAAAAAGAAAAAAGAGAGACAGAAAGTGAGAAATCACCCCCCAGGGGGATGGCCACGCCTCAATCCCTTCTCCTCTTGGGATCTTGGGCACGCATGCACACTCGCCCAGTGTGAGTTTAAGCCACTGGATCCGGGACTCGAACCTCAGTCGGCTACATGGGAGTCCAGCAACATAGCCATTACACTAACTGCTGGTCCCTTAAAAAGCATTTTTATGCATTATTTTGTAATAAACTGACAGCCACTCTATGAAGGCCTTTTATACGGTCCTTATTCATAAACCTTTGAATACATCTCCATCAGACATATTCTTAGAGGAAGAATTGCTAAATCAAAGGATATGTACACCGAAGACTTTTTAAAAATTATTTTATTGAACTTTATTTGTTTGTTTGTTTGTTTGTTTTAATTTGACCAGAGAGGGACAGAGAGAGAGGGAAAGTGAGAAAGCAAGCCGCCAGGTCCAGGACTCGAACTGTGGTTGACCATGTGGGAGTTTAGCGCCCTTAACCACCATGACACCTGCCGGCCCCATATTAAAGACTTTTGACACAAATTTGCCAGTTTCAAATTTTATTCCTATACGATTGAATATTTTTACTATGTTTGTTCTAATGTAAATTGCTTGTTCATGCCTTTTATTCCTGAAAATACTAGGTACACCTTTTTCTTATTATGAGAGATGTTTTTATATTGTTAATCTTGTGGCAAATATGTCACAAAAGGATATCTCCCCACCCCTCTTTCATGTTTGGCACTTCCTTTTTTTGAAATTTTTTTAATTGCCAAAGGGTGCATACACTCACTAGAGACGGAGAGAGAAGAGGCACCCCCAGAGGGGTGCAGTCACACCACAGCCCCTCTCCCGCTCCTCCGCCCTGTTGAGAATTGGGGAGTGTGGCACACTGTGCACACATGCCCGGCATGTTCTTCAAGCCTCTCCAGCTGGGATTCCAACAACATGGTCTGCCATGTGGAGCCAGCTTCCACATGGCTACAGGGCCAGCCTGAGCTTTGCCTTTTGATTTTCAACTTAATTTTTAAAAATTGGAACTTCTTATTTTGTCAAATTTTTTCCATTTATTTATTTATTTTAGATCTTTTCCCTGTCTTCTTTTGGGAAAAAAGTGCTTTTCCAGGTACCAGCAGTTAGTGTAATGGCTATGTTGCTGGACTCCCATGTAGTTGACCGTGGTTCGAGTCCCGGACCCAATGGCTTAAACTCACGCCGGGCGCATGTGCATGCGTGCCCAAGATCCCGAGAAGAGAATGGACAAGGGATTGCGGCGTGGCCATCCCCCCGGGGGGTGATTTCTTGCTTTCTATCTCTCTATCTCTCTCTGTCTGTCTGGCAAGCGCACAAGCCCTATAGCAAAAACCTCTCCAAAAAAAAAAAAAAAAGTGCTTTTCTAGTCAGTGACTGTAAACTGTCATTCATTAATACTCAAGTGAGATTCTTAAATTTAGGGTGTTTTTTGAACTTACTACTTCAGCAAAATTTCTTTTCACTCATTAAGCTGAACTTGTTCTTGATTTTCCTCCTTTCAAAGGTGGTATCTCAGCTCCATTTTACCAAATGGGAGTTTGATATTAGGGGGAGTAATCTTTCATCCAGTGTTCCATAAGAGCTGATGAATGTTTTAAGTTTTCAAATGACTTGGCCACAGAGTTTAAGTATGAGAAGAAAGAAAATCTAAGTATTTTAAAATACCCCACAAAATCTAGTTTTATTTATTTAGTTTTTAAAATTCCTTTCTTTGTTTTGCAGAATCCTTGCAACCTTTCTTGGAAGCCTGCAGCAACTCCTTATTCTTTCGCACTTGTTCGGTGCTGCTTCGAACCCCTAAACTTGATCTTCAAATACTGGAAAAGCTCAGTATTATTCTACAGAAACTTTCCAAAATCAAGTAAGTTCTCATTTCTAATATTTTACATTTATTTTTAATTTTTTAAAATCTTCTTGTGATCATTTAGACTTTTTCTAATCCCATACTAATTCTACTTTGATTATTTAATAAAAATTTCCAGTACACAGATGTAAGAAATCCAGATTCATAAATAAATATGTGTCAAGACTACATATTCAGTGACACTAGAATTAAAGTATAAAACTTGGAATATCTAGTTATTTCTGTAGTTCAGTTCATCTAAATGAACTCGCAATACTAAGAGTATGTAAAACTAAGAGCAGTTTCTACCAGCCAAGTGATAATACCAGAATACGCCACTGCACCTTGCATTCTGTCATAGCACGGGTGAAAATACAGGCTAAAGTCAGGACGGCCAGCCACAGTGGCGCAGCGATAGTGCGGCTCTCCGCAGTGGAGGAGGCAAGGCAAGGTCAGGGTGTGGCTTTTGTCTGGCGCGGAAAGGCTGGGAGTGGAGGGTGGATTGCAAAGTGAGACCTTGTGGATGGTACTGGTCTTTCTTTGTCTCTATGTCTCTCTCTCTCTATCATGAAAGTAAACAATTAACATAGTAAAAATGTACTTTGCAGGGCTAGTGGGTGGTATGGAATAGAGTAGGGTGCTGGATCCCATCTGACCTACTGCACTTTCTGAGTCCTGACCAGGTGGCTTGAAAAGCACACCAGGCACATGCATGCCCAAAAATCCCAAGAGGAGAATGGAGGAGAAGGGGTTGCAGCATGGCCATTCCCTCTGGGGGATGATTTCTCACTTTCCCTCTCTCTGCCATTCTGTCTCTCCATACACCCTATGGCAAAAAATTTTAAAAAATTAAAAGTATTTTGCAATTCCTATTGATACACTAAAATAAGTTGAAGGAGAGAGAATGGAGCAGGGACAGACCGTTAAAATGATTTTCATCGCTGGCTTAGTTTTAGGAAACGATTATGAGCTTTCTATTGCCACTGCTGTGGGTTTTACGAGGAGAACTGAAGACTTTCTAGTTCCTTTTTCTTCTTTCTGACTCACATTGGTATAACCAGTTTTTTAATTACATTTTTTAAGAGAGATTTTTGAGGGACCAGCAGTTGGCATAATGGCTATGTTGCTGGACTCCCATGTAGTCAACTGTGGTTCGACTCCCAGACCCCGTGGCTTAAACTCAGCCAGATGCATGTGCGTGCGTGCCCAAGATTCTGAAAGGAGAATGGAGGAGAAGGGATTGCAGTGTGGCCATCCCCCGCTGGGAGAGTGATTTCTCACTTTCTTTGCTCTGTCTCTCTCTGTCTTTCTGGCGAGCACATGTACCCTTTAGCAAAAACCTCTCCAAAAAAAAAAAAGAGGGAGAGGTTTTTAGTATAGAGTGTATATGCTCACCTGAGAGACAAAGAGACAAAAAAATGAGAAATCACCCCCCAGAGTGGATGGCCACACTGCAATCCCTTCTCTTCTATTCTCCTCTCGGAATTTTGGGCATGCACCCACAGGTGCCTAAAGTGAGTTTTAAGTTACCGGGTCAGGGATTTGAACCATGGTCAACTACATGGGACTCCAGCAATGTAACCATTATGCCATCTGCTGGTCCCTTTGATTACATATTAAGGACATACATTTTAAGTTGTACTTTCTTTGAATCTTGGTATAGTGTTACCTTTGAGGCAAATCTGAACACCTAGTATCTCACCTCATTTTTATAACAGTCAAACTTTGGTCTTGGTTCAGCTCTTCTCTCACTGGTCCCATCCCTCATCCATGATTTCCATGGCCAAAACATAGATATTCCACCAGGCTTCAGTACAGCTGAAAAGCAAGTGTCACTCAGCTGAGAATGAATTGTAGGTAAGGCGAATGGACTGATATGTTCTATTTTATACTGTGTCTTCGTATTTTGGTAAATCATTAAATGTCCAGTTGTAACCTTGTTCTTGATTAACCAAATTATTATTTTGATATCCATTAAATCTGTCAATGTATTGTCTTCCATTCTCAGGAAATTCTCAATAAGACCTATTGTAGTTACCCTTTTGTGCCATGAAGCTGCAATTGCATTTTCAGTTTAGTTCTTTTTTAGTTCTTAAATCATGGAATTTTTATAAAGTAGTTCCAAAGTACATTTATATTCTTGAGCCAAAATGTTTTACTATTCAAGATGTGTTTTTCTAGCTTATGTTGGCTTCTGACTTAGGTAAAGAACTAGAACAGAGCTTAAAAAAGAGGATTGGGAATAGTTTGATGCTCAAGTGGGTCTTAAAATAAATCTTTAAAACTACAAAGATGTAAGTCTTTCGTGTAAAACGGGTAATATGTAGGTTATTAGCTAATTTCTCTGAAGATGTAAATATAGATAAGGAAAGGAGAAATATTTTATAAGGTATAATTGAAAATTAAATTACTAACTGGGTATTAGAAAAAAGATAGTAGGAGAAGTCAGAAGGCAAACCAAGAATATTACAGCTTTAAAAAAACCCAACGTACTTAAAATGAAATGATCGAGTTCTAGCTGTGGAAAAAATTTTTTTCCTCAAGCTCTCAAAAAGTGAGTATAGGGGGGCCAGCAGGTGGCGTGGTGGTTAAGGCGGCTGGACTTTCACATGGCTGTCCGTAGTTTGAGTCCTGGCAGCTTGCTTTCTCACTTTCCTTCTCCCTCTCTATCTCTCTCTCTGGTCAACTTCAAAAAATAAAATAAAATGATCACAATAATAAAATTAAATAAAGTAATTATTTTTGGGGGCCGGCAGGTGGCGTGGTGGTTAAGGGTGCTGGACTCCCACATGGTCGACTGTGGTTTGAGTCCTGGACTCGGTGTCTTGCTCTCTCTCTCTCTCTCTCTCTCTCTCTCTATCACTCTATCCCTCTCTGGTCAAATGGAAATAAATAAGTGAATGAATAAATAAAATTAAAATTAAAAAAAAATTTTTTAAATAATATTTTTTTTTTGAGAGGTTTTTGCTACAGGGCACGTGCACTTGCCAAAAAGACAGAGAAAGACAGAGAGACAGAAAGAGAGAAATCATCCCTCCCCAGGGGGCTGGCCATGCCACAATCCCTTCTCCTCAATTCTCCTCTCGGGATCTTGGGCACGCATGCACACGTGCCCAGCGTGAGTTTAAGCCACCGGGTCTAGGACTCGAACTTCAGTCAACTACATGGGAGTCCAGCGACATAGCCATTACGACATAGCCATTACGCTGGTCTCTCCTTTTCATTTTTTGATTGTTTTTCCACTTCAGACCCGTTTTGTTTGTTTCAGCATCTTAATCCTTTATCCCCCTGCTGTCTCCACTGTTTTTAAAACCAGATGCCATTTCTTCACAGTTACACGTGTGTTCTCTCTGTGGTCACTACAGTTTATAGAGAAACTCTAAACACGTATAACTCAGATGTATTCACTCTTTTACAGGAGTAATAAGAAGCTCTTCGAACTTTTTACAATTCACCTGATGCTTCAAGAAATACAGAGGACCACACACCCAGAGCACGCCTTTCTCTGTATAAACCTGAATTCTACTCTGTTCAATTTGGGTTTGACAAAATGCAACTCCTCGGTCTCCAGTGGCACGCGTTAGACTGACTTATTTATTACTATTTTATGTGTTACTAATTGGTAAAAATCACCAAAGTAACTAAAATTCTACCAAGTAAAGTAATCAGTAGAATCATTTATCATGAAAGATATATAGAAAGATTTTTTTTCAACTTTTTAAGTGAAACTTGTAGAAGTTATCGAATTTTTTTAATGTTTCAGTTCAACTAAGGTGACTGTAATGTACAAGAAGGCATTTCCAGAACTTATGACATTGGGGCTACTTTTTGTAAAAATACTTTAGGAAAATTGCTTCTTAAAATTATGTGACTATTTGGAATAAAATTGGTGCTGATGTGGGGACAAGATAAATCATGTCATGTTTTCTTAAGACTTAAAGCCCTCCTTTTAGAAGCAGAAGTGCATATTTTTTAACTATCATCTTGATACCTAACATTTCTATTTATCTTAGATTCACAATTAATGATTTTTTAAGTTGCGCTAGTCACAGGGTACTCTAGAGAAATAGTTTTTTTAAAATGTGTCACTGAAGTTTGTTACAACGTAAGACACTAAGAGAGAGCACTGAGCGGTACAGAAGATCATAATCCCGTTACCAGAAATACCTCTCGATGTAGCCGGAGGTTCGCATGAGGCGGAGGTGGTGGAGCTTGGAATTTAGGAGCAAGAGAAAAGAAACATTATTTTAAGGAGTTGCAAAAATATACATGATGAGTTTATAATCTGTCCAGGATCTAGGCGAAATTTTCAGGAAACTTTTGGGCCTATTACAAGATTATAAGAAAATGTGCCATTTGTAAAACAGAAGGCCTCAAGGAGAAAACAGGCTGGGGTTGAGGTGGCTACCATGAGTCTCAGAGGAACTTAACGATGGACGCTGGAAACACACACAAGATGACACGAGGGACTTCGCAGTTAGACCATGCAGTTAGTGTCTGAGGAGAAACAAGCTCTCTCGAACTCAGGGCACCAGGAGGGGACTGGGCGACAGGCCAGGACAGAGGTCGGCCCTTGAGCGTGAGGTGTCGGTGTCACTGAAGAGGACAGAGCAGGTGGAAGGCGAGTGGCAGGTGAGTGGAGTAAGATCCGGAGCTGAGAGACCGCCCGTACAGAGTGAAAGGCGCACCGTGTTCCAGAAAAGCCTATGAGAAAGGGTTCTGGCAAAATATTAAATCATACAGATGAAAGTAAAAACAAAAAGAAAAGCCAAGGTAGCCTCCTAGAGTGCCGGAAGCTAATAGGTCGTTCTGGGTGAAATGTTTTTAATTGCCAGAGAGAAAGCACCCCAGCATCGCGTGCTCACACTACAGTCTTTTTCCTCCATCTTTTCCGTCAGGATACTGGGCACGCATACACGCACGCACGCACGCACGCACGCCCAGCGTGTTTCTTAAGCCACCAGGGCCGGCATTCGAACCACCGTCGACCGTGTGGGGTGCTGCTCTCCGTCCACCAGTCAAGCGCTGAGGAGCTGGCCCTGGAGGGGGAATTCTCCAACCCAAGGATTTATACCTGGTAAAATTGCTTTCTGTAAGTGAAGACCACGGAAAGACATTTTCAGACGTGCAAGGGTTTGGGAATTGTACCACTTAATGTACTGTTCTGGAGGAAAAGCGGCCTTCAGGTGAACCAGCTGAGCGCTGAAGGGAACCTGAGTTTAAGTCAGTCTCATACTGGGAGCTCGTAAATACTGAGACGACCTCAGTATAAATGCACAGGCCCTATACATCTGGGCCGGCTCTGTGGTGCAGTGCAAACGTGCTGCTCCAGAGAAGCTGGACCCGTATGGCCCTATGTACCCGAAACATGCAGGGTGGTGACATACGTGCCCAAGATCCAGCAGGCTGAGGGACGGGGACGCGGACTGCAGCATGACTGACCCCTGTGGAGGTGCCTCCCCTTACATACACACATGTGCACACTGCCTTAAATAAAAAACCTAAAGAATGGCTATAAATCTTGTAAAATGAGGGAGATACTAAGTTTACAAAAGGGATAAATAGTGGAAAGAAGGTTTGTTAGTGCTACGTATCTGGGTAAGACTGCATCAATATAGTAACTTTCACATTGACTTGAGAGCCCCTGCGGTTACCAGAGTCCCTGCATGTCCGAGTCCTCTGCATCGCCACCTACACCCACAGGTCCTGCATCTGCCGACGTGGAGGAAAGTTGATCCTTGCCTGAAGTCTTGGATGTGGAATCTGCAGATGTAGAAGACCAATAACTTCTGTTACCCAAACCATGAATTAATGGGGCCTTGAGATTGTGGTCAAAATTTACAAAAAGCCGGTAAGTATTCAAATATTATATTCAGAAATAAAGCTAAAGTGCTACTTTTTTTTTTTTTTTAAAGAGAGTTTTTTGCTATAGGTGTGTTTGCTTGTTGGAGAGAGACAGAAAGTAAGAAATCACTCCGCAGGGGAGTTGCCACACCATAGTCTCTTTTTCATTCTTCTGCAATTTCGGCAGGCATGCACACGCCTGGTGTGAGTTTTAAGCTGCTGGGTCCAGGATTCGAACCACGGTCAACTATGTGGGAGTCCAGCAATGTAACCATTACACCATCTGCTGGTCCTACCAAAGTGTTGCATTTTAATGTTAGCTTTGATGATTTAAAAAATGTGGAATGAAGAATCTTTTGGAAAATATCAACAAAACATAAAAGCAAAATAAATATTCTCAAAACACTGAAGGAAAAAAATAAAATATCCATATAGACAGAGTAAAATAAAGAATGCCAGGAACATGAAAACAAAAATACAAATATTTAGGGTAAATGAGATCTTGAAAGTGTTGAAAATGTGAAAGTCTATCAAGAGATTAAATGGATTCTTTTTAGAAAAAGACATTACCAAAACTGTCTTAAAATCTACCAAGATGAGACTAGCGGATGACATAAGGGCTACGTCATTGGACTCCCACAAAGCTAATCATGTTTCAAATCTGGGACCCAGAGGCTTGAAACTCACGCTGAGCATGTGTACGTGTGTGCCCAAAATCCCGAGGGGAGAATGAGAAGGGATTGCGGTGTGGCTATCACCTCTTGGGGGGAAGGGGTTGATTCCTCGCTTTCTGTCTCTGTCTCTCTCTCCAGCGAGTGCATGTGCCCCATAGCAAGAATCTCTCTTAAAAAAAATCTCCAAGAGTTCTTTGGTTTGAGTGTTCCCCACCAAAACTTTAGCTGAAATTTGATACCTAGCACAGCAGTGTCAGAAGGTGAGGCTTAGTGGAAGGTGCTTGGGAAACAGGATGAATCCCTCATGAACAGATGATGAGAGTGATTTCTCCATAATTAGTTCCTGAAAGTGAGGCTGGTCTGCTCGCCCTCGCTGCTGCACAGCCGGCTTTCCTGCCAAGGAGTGGGGCAGCACGTGGCTCACCAGAGCTGAGCAGGGCCAGCACCATCCTCTGCACATTCTGGTCACCAGATCAAGACCCAATAGGCCTCTTCTATGAAAATCACCCAGTCTCAGGTATTCTGTTACAGCAACACCAGTGGACAAATTGCAAACCAGTGAAGTCTTTTATACAATTACCAAAGGACTATTTTTTTTTTTTGTAATGGCAAAAGCCCCAGGTATTTTACAAGTGAATTATCTTAAAATTTCAAGGCAGAAATATTTAGTTACATCAACTCCCAGAATGTGTTGGGCTGTTGGGAAGGTCATGGCACCTTTTTGCATAGAAAAATACATCATAACTTTCCAGATGACTTAATAAAAAATCGCCCAAATTAATTTTACATAGTTAGCATGAAACAAGTACCAAAAAGTTGGCAAAAAAGTGAAAAGAAGAAGGACCAGAGGGCCATGGTGGCTGAGGCACTGGACTCACATGGCCGACGACGTTTCGAGTCCTGGACTTGGTGGTTCTCTCTCTCTCTCTCTCTGGTAAGTGCATGTGCCCTATGGCAAATTAAAAAATAATAATAGTGGGACCAGCAGGTGGCGTGGTGATTAAGGCACTGGACACTCCCACATGGCTGACTGCAGTTCAAGTCCTGGACCTGGTGGCTTGCTTTCTTACTTTCTCTCTCTCTCTCTAGTCAAGTTAAAATAAATGAATGAATAAATAAAAAACTTAAATAATTCTTAAAAAGTAATAATAGTAGTAATGATCAAAAAGTCTTTATTTTTTTGAGCAGTTTTTGTTATAGGGCGTGTGTGCTCTCCAGAAACACAGAGAAAGACAGAAAGAGAGAAATCAACCCCGGGGTTTGGGGTGGATGGCCATGCTTCAATCCCTTCTCCTCCACTCTCCTCTCGGGATCTTGGGCATGCACGCACATGCGCCTGGTGTGAGTTTAAGCCACCAGGTCTGGGACTCAAACTGCAGTCGGCTACATGGGAGTCCAGCAACATAGCCATTACACTAACTGCTGGTCCCGATAAATAATTCTTTAAAAAGTGAAAAAGAATAAAATAGATTCAAAAGTATTAATGAAATTATAAACAAATCAACAATGCATATTACAGTAACTTAATCCAAGACTAGGTAGATTAGCATGTATTCTGCAAATGCATAGGCTTTCTAGTAGAAAATATATTTAACAACATTAGTAGAGCAAAAGAGAAAAGCCGTAGTCATTTTAATAATGCCTATAAGCATTGTAGTTCGGACTTGCGTTCCTGATAAAAGTTATTATACAGTGTATCAAAGGGTACAACTCAACATCAGACTCACCATGGAACTACGTGTGCTTATTAAGGTTAAGAATAAAACGGGGATGTCTGCAACTGTTCCTATAGACGCTGGGGTATTTCAGGAGGCATAACTTGAAGGAAATGAGAATATCGTTTTAGATTATGTAATTACTTGGAAAATTGTAGGATTATTTGAAACTTCAGTAAAATACCCACTTAAAAAATAAACGTAGATGGGACCAGCAGGTGGTGTGGTGGTTAAGGCCCTGGACACTCCCACATGGCTGATCATGGTTCATGTCCCGGACGGGGTGGCTTGCTTTCTCACTTTCTCTCTCTCTGTCTCTCTCTCTCTCTGGTCAGATTAAAATAAATGGATGAGTAAATAAAATTTTGAATATTAAAAAAATAAAATAAACAAAGAGTTTTCTAATATTTCAGCAACAAATTAAGCATTAATATTTCATATATAGTATTAATAAACTTGCAGGAATCAAACGTAACAGGAAATGTTCAGGATATAAATGAGGGATTGCCAAAACTCTGTTGAGGAATTTCAAAGAAGAATTAATGGAGACATAACCACGTTCCTTGATAAAGAGATTCTGCCAAAACCTGTGAAGAAATAGGAAATCTGAATAGGCTTATATGTGTTCAAGAACCCTTTATTTTTAGATTTTTGCTATAGGGCGCATGT